GATGAAAAGACCAGAGCTCAACAGAAAATTTGATCTTCAAATACAAGACTCAAGAGAGGCATAAAAAGGTAAACAGGAAAGAAAAAAACAACAACAGGTTATCAATAAGGGCAAATTGTTGACATTCTTTCAAGGGAAGATGGCACTTGTAACTCTTGAGAACTGTATTGTTATTATGACATTTAAAAAGGGATATACATAGACAGAGGGTGTGGGTATAAGTTGATTTTGATGTGATGCTAAAAAAAATCTAATTAAGTGGTGAAAAGGGATTATTCTGGGGGAAGAGGAAAGGACAAGGCAGACTGGGGTAAATTACATCACATGAAAAGGCACACAAACCTATTACAGTAGAAGGAAAGAAGGGAGGGAGATGAGCATTGTTTGTACCTCACTCTTATCAGATTTGGATCAAAGAGGGAATAGAATTGTGAGTTAGGTATAGAAATCTAACTTTATAGGAAGTAAGAGGGGAAAGAGGAAAGAATAGGGAGAGGTGGATAGAAGGGAGAGAAGAAGTAGTAAGGGTATAGGGGAAGAAAAGGGATGGGGTTGATAGAAGGTAGGTCAGACTGAGGGAGGCAGTGGGCAAAAGCAAAACACTAGTGAGGAGGGAAAGAGAGAAAGGAGAAAGAAAAGCATAAATGGGGGGATAGGATGGAGAGAAAGATACAGATAGTAATCATAACTGAATCTGAATGGGATGAACTCTCCCATAAGAGAGAAGTGTATAGCAGAGTGGATTAAGGATTATTATAATATTTTATATATAGGATATATTATATCCTATATTAGGATATTATATATATATATATAGGATTATTATAATCTTATAATATGTTGTTTAAAAACCTGGAAAGATGTATACAAACTGATGCTGAGTGAAATGAGCAGAACGAGAAATACATTGTATATGGTAACAGCCACATTGTAAGATGACTGACTTTGACAGACTTAGGTCTTCTCAGCAATGCAAGGATCTAAGACAACTCCAAAAAACTCACAATGGAAGATGCTGTCTACATCCAGAGAAAGAACTCTGGAGTCTAAATGAAGATGGAAGCATACTAATTGCTCTCCTTTCTTTTGTTGTTTTGTTTTGTTTCTTCTTTCTCATGGCTCCTCCCATTAGTTCTAATTATTCTTTACATCATGACTAATGTGAAAATATCTTTAATATGAATGTATAAGTAGAGCCTATATCAGATTGCACACTGTCTTGGGGAGGGAGGAAGAGAAAGAGGGGGAGAAATTTTAAAACTCAAAATCTTATGGAAGTGAATATTGAAAACTAAAATTAATTATTAAAAAAACAATCTGGAGAACAGATTAAGAAGAGAAAATATAAGAATAACTACCTGAAAACTATGAACAAAAAAAGAATCTTAATACAAGAATATAAGAAATAGTTAAAGAAAATTGTCCTGAAGCATTAGAATAAGAGGGGAAAGTAGAAATAGAGAAAATTCACTGATCACCTCCTAAAAGAGATCCTATGAGGAAAACCCACAGGAATATTATAATAAGATTCTGAAACCCCAGCTCAAGGATAAAATATTATGAAAAACAAGAAAAAAAGACAATTTAAATATGGCAGTGCCACAATTAGACTCACACAAGACCTAGCAGTGGTGACACTGAAAGATCACAAGTCTTGGAACACTGTATTATCAAAGAACAAAAGAACTGGGGTTCTGGCTGAAAATGTCATACCCAGCAAAGCTAAGCATAATCCTGAATGAAAAAAATGAATATTTAATGACTTACAGCACTTAAAAAAAACTTAATAGAGGATCTGACGTACAAGAGCCAAGAGAAATATAAGGTACATACCAAAGACTAATTACAAGGGACTCAATAAAGACAGACTGTTTGTTTACCTTTTATATATAAAATGTAAAACATATGTCCAAGATTGTTATTAGTAATTTGGTAGTTCATAAGAAAGATTGGGAGATACCTGAGTATGATACGACTTTAAAAAGTAAAACTCTTCAGAAATAGCTAAAAAGTAATTATCTTGGGGAAGCGAGGTGGCGCAGAGGAAAGAGCACCGACCCTGAAGTCAGGAGGACCTGAGTTCCAATCCGACCTCAGACCTAACACTTGACACCTACTAGCTATGTGACCCTGGGCAAGTCACTTAACCCCAATTGCCAAAAAAAAAGGTAATTATACAAATAAGGTGTGAGAGGAAGAACCAACACAGAGGAATTAGTTGGGGGAGGAGGGCTATTAGTTCTGGAAACCTACTTTCACTGGGAATGGATTCAAGCGTGAACTACACATTTAGATCTATAAAGTATAAAAGTTTTCTAAATTTAGAAAGAAATAAATGTTAAAGGGGATTGGGAAGGGGGAGAGGATTAGGGAGGGATCTCTAGAAGGGAGGGTGAGGGAATAGGTTAAGGGCAGGGTATAGAAGGGTGTTTAGATTTATGGGAATGAGAGGATAAGGGAGGGATCTTTGGAGGGGTGATAGGGTAAGTAATAGGAGGTCAAGGTGGAAGTAAAGTAGAGGAGTCAGGAGGATTAGGATATAAGAAGTATACACAAACATAAAACAGAGATCAGGAGTAGAATTTGTTAGGGAAAGTATATGTTTATATATATGTATATATGTATGTATGTGTATATATGTACATGTGTATGTATGTATCTATATATAAATATCTCGGCAGGGATGTAGAGAAGGAAGGGGAAAAAAGAACAAAATAAAGAATGCACAGTACAGAATAAAAGAATACTTACAAGGAAGCAAAGATCGATAGCTCTCAACACAATGCATAATATTTATTATATATGCTTTCTTGAAATGGAAATTTATTGCTATGTATTTTGATCCTCTTACATTCTGCTGTACACGTTAATACTTTTTTTCCTTTTCTTACTTTTTATTTGTTTATGTTTTCTCTTTTTATTGTGTATTTAAGTCTAAAATAAAAAAAAATTCTCAAATACTCATGGATACATGTGATGTATAGGTGATTATGGGTAATAGTTTTTTTGTTTTAGTTCTTCCCCTGTAATACTGTTCTATTTCCAATACAGTTTATTGGTTTGATTGTTAATATCTGTTAGTAGTATGAGGAATTTTCATTTGTTAGTTTATGGAGAAGAGTGTATTATTAGATGAAATTTATATATTATTTTTGGTTTGCAAAGTACTTTATGTAATTTATTTCATTTGATTCTCACAACTGTATGCTGAAATAAGTTATGTTCTCCATGTAGAAGAGACATTGTGATGTGAATGGTCATTTTTGTACTGATAGGCCTTTTCCTGTTCCCCCATGTCAACAACATCCTTAAGCTATTGTCCTAATAGTGGGATCATAGGGTCAATTATGTGAATAATTTTGTGTCTCTTACTATGTGACACCTTATTGCTCTTCAAATGGATTGTCCCAATTTACAGCTTTACCAGCAGTATAATAATAAGCCTGTTTCTCTAAGGTCCTACCAGTATTGAATGTTATCTTGTTTAATTTTGCCAATTTGATGGGTGTAAAGTAGTATCTTGGAGTTGTGTTAATTCACATTTATTTAACTACTAGAGTTTGAACACTTTTAAGGTAGCTATTAGTAATCTATGTTATTTATTTTGTGATATACCTCTTCGTTGACTCTCACCACTTACCTTATAGGGAATAGAAAAGCATAATGTTTCCTTAAAGGTAAAATGTAATCATTTAAAAAAAAAGTTGTCTGTTTACTTTTCTCAAATCATGAACATAGGGGTCAGATTTTTTCAAAACACTTCCCATTTGAGCTATGGATATGCATGCCACACTGGCATATCTCAAATGATCAAGATCTTACCATTTGACCTCCCTAATCAAATCAACAACCATTTATTAAGTACCTAATATGTGCTAGTCACCTTGTCAAGTACTGGGGATACAAAGAAAGGTAAAATACAGTCCCTGATCTCAAGGAGTTCATTTGTTTCTAATTGAAGAACATGCAAAAAATTCTGTCCAAATGAGGTAAATACAGTGTGGAGATAATTAACAGAGGGAAGACACTACCATTATGGGGTTCTGTAAGGGCTTCTTGTTGAAAATGGGATTTTAGTTGGGATCTGAAGGAAACCAGGGAAGCTAGGCACTGGAGATGGGGAGAGAGAGAGTTCAAGACATGGGGGAGATAGCTAGTGAAAATAAATGGAGTCTCATGGCTTAATTGATAACATTTAAAATATAAAACTGAAATATGCAGGCTTATAAAGACTTCAAAAACATGTTAAGATCAATTGACTGCTAATCATATTCTCTAGTATTGGCCTTATTTTTGTTGGAAGATATGCTGTTTTTCTCTGAAAAGAATAATTATCCCTAACTCTTACAATGGCCTTGCAAGGTTAGAATGTTAAACTCTTAAGGAAGGCTGTGATCTTGTCAGAAAAAAAAAAAGAAAACAACTCCTTTTGCTATACACTTGTACTTTTAATATAAAATTTCATATAATCATTTATTGGTTTAAATCTGAGCATTTTCAGAGTTGGTAAAATGCATTTTATTTCCTCTTCAAAATAACCAAGCCTACAGTCTTCACTGCAGCATAGCAAAATGACATTTTCTGCTTGTGTAAATGTTAAGCGTCACATATTTTACATAAGCAGAAAATACTATTTTTACTCCTTGATAATGGAAACTGTAGCCTTGGCTATTTTCATGTAGAAACAAAATGTTAGGTACTTTTAGCTAGGTGGTGGCTTTTTTAAGTCTTATCTGGTGATTGCAGTTTGTGTCTACTTTATCAGTTGAAAAATTGATTGATGGAAAAGGAAAAATTATTTGTCTGCTATGCAGTAAATCCAGAATGAAGTGACTTACTCTTCATTGCTTTCTCTCCTATATCAAATAGCTTTTTTTACTCCTAGCCAAATTTATTCATAGGACTAATGAGCCAAAGACATCCATACACTGTAGAACAAAATGACACATATTTAAAAATTTTCTCTGGTGACTTTTTTTCTTTATTTTTCTTTCTTGTAGTTATGGAATACTCTGTCCAGATACACACTGGAGATGTGAAGAATGCAGATGCCGCTGGCCAGGCTTATATTTACATAAAAGGAGAAAGAGGTGATTCTGGGAAAAGATGGCTTACCAATTCAAGAAATAGCTCAATTGCTTTTTCCAGGGGACAGGTAAAACAAAAATATTACTTATTAAATAAGTGCTTTGATTTGCTATTTCTCATTTACATGGGGTTACATGGAGTCTATATTATGTTCATTCATTCAACACTCAGCAAGTAGTTTTGAATGTACACAGAACACTATGCTAGATGCTGGATGTGCTAACAAAGTATAGATAAACACAGGTCCCTGTCCTCTTGGAGCTTACAATCTAGTAGGAAGGTTAGACAACAACACTGATAGCTATACAACCAGTATTAAATGGTGAGCAAATTAGATGGGAACAGAACAAAGACGGTCCAGAGGGGATTGCTGTGGATGAGATCAAAAAGAGGGGAAGAGATATCTATAGCTATAGATGCAGAATAAGAAAAATCAGAATTCAGTTAGTGTATTACTTTAAAGTTTTCATTTTTATAATATGAGGACAAGAATATCCAGAAGGACATAGTGCTTAAGTGTGTTGCTATTTTTTTTTCTTTAAGTACTAGTGAGGCATAGTGGGAAAGAAAATCACCCACAATCATTCCCGAGATCCTAAAGTCCCTTGTGTTTCCCTGAAGAGTATTTATTCATGTAATAACCAAGGCCTATTTTCTTTATCCTGGGTTGTATGACAACGTAGGGCTATTGATAAAGGAGGTATAGAATCATTTACTCAGTTTCTTTCACTACTTCAAAATAGTCATTCATGGTATGAAAGAAGGACACAGCACTTATTTCTCCAATAATTGCTTTCATCAGTTGGAAGGAAAAGATATATGCTTGTTGAAAACATGCTGGGAATACCTGAAGCAATCCATTTGTAAAGGATTCTGTAATACTTTTTTCATCTAAAATATTTGGAAGACAACAAAACAGGTTTCAAATTGGGCAGAAACTCTGAAGATCTTGGATTTAAAGGCTTTCTTTTTTAGATGTAGGACTTATAGAATAGAATACAAAAGATTGGCTGATACAGAGGGAAGGAGTGTAGCTTTTGTCCCATCAAAGTCCTATTGAGGAGAAACTATCTTGCGCCTTTAAATGATTACCTGTTGCCCATGTTAATACCGGGAGATGCCAAAGTGTGCAGCTACTTACGATACAGTATATGAAATGAGTGCCACAAGGAACATTTTTAAAATTACATTTACAAATTCACAATCTGATGCCATGTATACTTCCTCTTCTTGGTACAAAAGTGAATATGTTTTGATGTCAGGGCTACTGATATGAATTGTTTAAGTGCAGGGTTCAAAACACAGATTTCAAGCTTTTCCCTGGGCATATGTGTCATTTTTGTAGTTCTGCCTGATGCAAATATTAATTTTTATTACTGGTCGCATTTTAACAGATCATCTAAGAAGTCCATTGCACTTCCAGAAGAATCATTAGCTTGTCCTTATTTCATTGCCTGAAATAGAGAGCAAGAGAGGTGGCTAATGACACTGAGCCAGCAACTCAATTTAAATTCACCAAAAAATTCCACTCAATAGCTCACATTTATTAGCACTTTAAGGTTTGCAAAGCACTCTACACATGTAATCTCATTTAATCCTTGCATCAACTCTATGAGGGAGCTGCTAATTTATTGCTCCTATTTTATAGACGAAGAAATCGAAACTAAAAGTTATTAAATTTCTTGTCCAATATGACAAGCAAATGTCTGAGGCAAGATCTAACCTCAGGTCTTCCTAATGTCTAATCTACTATTCTAACCTTTGTACCACCTAACTACTGAAATACAGGGTTGTTGTTGTTGTTGTTTGTCCTTTGTTCTTGAAGAGGACCATGACATCAGGAAGGTGATGCCATGACATGCAAGGGAATTGGATTTAAGTGAGGGAGGGCTGTGCAAAGTCACAAGCCTCACTTTCTCCTCCAGAGCCATCTGGGTCTAGTGGCCAGATATACATCAAAACATCTGGAGATGGCCCCAGGTGTGGAATACTTAGTCTTTTAAAACTAAGGTCTTTAGCAGGTCTCAGTTTGACTGAGGAAATGTTTATTCAGTGATTAAGGCTAGGTCAAAAAATGAGGCAAAGAATGGCCTCTTTAACCTATTCTAGAAAACAAAATCAAACTGGGAGGGAAAGACCCTCAGGATTTCTGGCCAAAACAGAAATAATTCCTATTTACATTCTCTCTGAGTCAATCAGAACAAACAATGACCAAGTAGGGTTTGGCCTGGGACCTACTTCTGGTCAATCAGTGAAAGCCAGAGTGATTTGGGTTTAAGGCATGGTCCTCAAGAAAGAAATCCAGCCTGCAAACCCCAAAATAAAGGGGGCTTTTAATACCAGGCTTATAAGTTTGTATTTTATTCTAGAAGCTCTAATAGAGAGTCACTGAACAAGTTGGAGCAAGAGAGTGATGAGCTCTTCCTTCTGTTTTAGAAAGAGTATTTTGGTAGCTGTGTAGAGGATCACAACCTAGGTGTCATCCTTGATTCCTCATTTTTTTACCCTTACCCTATAACCAATTTTTTGGCAAGTACTTTTGTTTTTACCTTTGTAATATATCTTATATATGCCTTCTTGTTTTATGACATTGTCACCACCTTAGTCCAAGCCATTATGACCTCATGCCTGGACTATTGCAATAGCCTTCTGGTTAGTCTCCCTGTTTCAAATGTCTGTCCATTCCAGTCTATCCTCCACTAAGCTGTCAAATAGATCTTCTTAAAGTATATATCAGACCATGTTATCACATTATTCAGTGGTTCCCTGTTACCTCCAGGATCAACTGTAAAATCCTCTGTTTGCATTTTAAAGCAAAATCTGATCCATTCCTACCTTTCCCATGTATAACCAGCCCAGTGACACTGAGCTCCTTGCTGTTGTTCCTCACACAAGACATTCTATCTCCCAACTCCATGCCTTTTCACTGGTTTACCTCCCATGCCTGGAATGCTTTAATTTCTGCTTTATAACTTCTTCGGATTCCTTCAGGTCTCAGCTAAAGCCCAGCCTTCTGCAAAAAACCTTTCCCAGCCTTCCTTATTCTTAACTCCTTTGTGACTACCTCCAGTCTAGCTTGTATATGAGTTGTTTGTATACAGTAGTTTGTATGTTATTTCCCCCATAAGACTGTGAATCAGTAAGAGAAGGGACTGATTTTTGCCTATCTTTGCATATCTCTAGCCCTTAGCACAGTGTGTCACATATATATGCACTTAATACATTCTTGTTGACTTGATTTGGCTTCACTTGTTGGGAGAGAAAGACTAGAAATGTAAACAAGTGAAGAGACTATTGAAATTATTCATTACAGGAGCTGTAAGTAGAGAAAAGAAGATAGAGGCACAAAATCTTGTGGGAAAAGAATCCATGAGAATTTGCAAATGATTAGGTATGGGGAGTGAAGGTTAGGGAAGTGTAAGAGATAACTATGTGGTTATGAATTAGGGTAAATGGTAAAGAGGGTAAATGAAGTCCTCAGCAGAGATGAGGATGTTTGGAGGAGGGTGCAGTTTAGGAGAGAAAGTCATTAGGCTGTTTCTAAATACTCTGTATCACCTGTGTAGGCTTAATTGTTTTCATTATGCCCACTCTCATTCTTCTACCTAAAAGTTTCAGAAGACAGCTATCAGAAAGGTTAACTCAATCATTGCCTTTACTTCTCTACCCCATAGCAATTAGTCTTGCTTTTGCTGGCATCAATTTCCAGTTCTTTTTCTTTAGTTTTCCTATTATGTTTCCAATCGATTTTTTCCTATAATGTTTCTGATTGCTTTTTTCAATTTTTAAATTTGCTTAGAGAGAGAAACAATCAATCATGACTTTCAGAGATTCTTATGGCATCTTGATACCTTTGTTATTTAGGTGTAATTTCAAAGACTTTTAAGGCTAAGTAAAACATTAATTTTTCATTTAGTTGCATCTCTACTTTGATTACTCTATTATTTACCCTTTCTTCCACATCACTTCTTGGCAAAGAACTATAACAGGCATACATCCCATGCTGAATAATTCTACATCTACACATATATTTGAGGTTAATTAAGATATTTACATTTCTTTCAAGGTGCAAATCTCTTGACCATGTGAAGTAAATTTCCCTTAGTAGGAGTCTTTTATAATGCAATAAAGACTATGCTGTTGTTATTGTAGCCTAGGTTACAATGAGACATCAGTATGGTTTCTGGAAAGCTAAATCCAAATCAAGGTACTCTTTAGGTTCTCTGACTTGAGTCCTCATCTAGCATATTCTCTTCTAGACCCAACCAGATTAGACATGAAATTATGAGTAAAGAGCATTTTATTAAAAAAAAATAGCAAGGTAAATAGGAATATCTGGGACATATTAAGCATTAATAAACATTTGTTGATTTGAGCAAGGAAACATATTCCTAACTTCAAAAAATACACATAAAGACACTCTTCCACAGCCGGGTGTCAATTAATAGTCAATAAAGATTTATTAAGTTCCTATTATGTGTCAGGGACTGTGCTAAGCCAGGAGATACAAATATGAAAAAGAAAGACAGTCCCACCCCTCCAGGTGCTTATAATCTAATTGGAGGAAACAGCACACAAAAGAAAACTGAAAAGTAGGAGAAAGGGAGGGACAAGGAGGAAGATACCCAACTGGGAGATGGAAGACCCATAGTGGAGAAACTGATTAAGTCCAAAATAAACACAACCACATTGGAAATGAGGAGACAGGAGACCTATAAGGAAGGTGTTAGGATACTCGTAGTCAACTCTAGGCAAACCATGCTCCTAGGAAGAACCTCACTGCCACCGAATCTTCCAAGAATTGTCTATGCCTATGTCTTCTAGGCTGCCTCCTCCATCAAACTGCTACTGACATCCACTGCTTCTCTAACGAATTACAGTTGCTGGGGTGTTTTTGGTTTTGCTTTTCTTTCTTTCTCCTTAGAAGAGTGTTTGGCAGCACAACAAGGTTACCTCAGGCCAAATTTGTCTTTTTTTTTTTGGTTTGTTTTCTGTTTTATCCTTAACGGAAACTCTCTCAGGCCAGTTTTCTTTCGGGATTGGGATTAAGTCAAATCCTTTCAACTT